ATTTCTGAGCAATGGAAACCTGGACCAATTTGACCACATTACTGCTTCAGCTCCATCATGGGCTGGCAATTTCCATGCTGAGTTTTAACCTAAGAGCAGTTAGAACAACCCAATTTATACATCTCTCAAAGACCTTGAACCGATGGTACTGATCTCCAGATGATAGCCTCTTAGATATTGTTACCGAAACTTTCTAGAAGTAGCACAAACCAGGAGGGAGCAATTCATCCTTGGCGTAACCCCATTTACTCTAGCAGTTTGGCCCTGAGGGACTAGGAGCACTTGATGTCTGACAGCAGCCCCAAATGTCAGTATTTCTCCCCTTGTTCATTTGCCTGCTTGCTGTGGTAGATTTCATGCCATTATAAGCTGTTTATTTACAGCCTGATCAAAGTACTTAATGGCAGGGTTAATTTCTACGTTTAATGAGGAAGGCAAGACAGGAGACAGGTACTGTGTAATCGAATTTTTCATTTTGGAATTTGTTTCTCTTCATGTAGAGCTTAGCTTTGGTTTTTATTACCATTAATGCCTGCATTTACTGTTCCTTCTAGTCTCTCAGATGAGCCAAAGCTACTGTGTCAAGAGTGGAGGCACTGAATTGTTCCAACAGCTTCTGTAGAAGTATGACGATAAAGTAGTAAGTCTGTAACTTCTCCGCAACAAGGGCTCAATATGCAGTTTGGTTTGGGGGACAGTTAATACAAGTACATTGTTTAAAAAGCCTGCTGAAGCAACTGATCCTGTTATGCCTCAGTAGGTGTGTGCACATTATGTACGTGTGTTCATGGCCTCAGAGGGACAAAGGCTGTGTTAAAATCCAGAGATCTTTTAGATTATGAAGTGTTGTGCCTTCAGCAAGATTTTGGGGACATAAATGATTTCCCACAGCACGAAAGCGATAGAGGCCTTAGAAAATGTGGCTCATTGATGTAGCTAGCTTCAGGAATTTAGCTGGAAGTGAAGACCAAACTGAACCTGGGCGTATCCAGCTCCCTCTGCATCCACTGTGTTTTGCTTTTCCAAGCGCTCTGTAAATTATATGAAAAAAGGGGATTTGAAAGTTCATGAGATGTTAAATTCTGTGAACCACTGTTAGCCAAGTTTCCTTATCACTGAGGTAAAAATTTTTCTTTGTGAGGAAAATGTGCACCTCTATTAGCACCACTGTGCAAGCTGTAGTTTGCAAATGTGGTGGGAGGCTTTGCTCATGCTAATTTGAGCTCAGTCATGCACCTTTTTTTGCTCTTTTACATGCAAATAGCAGCTGTGTCAGTCTCTGGGATGCCTGCTTGTTCCTTTAACGGAGAGATTCCAGTTCATACCTTCAACCAGTGCATTTGTGCGTGGGCAGAGGTATATCGTGGTGGTGCAGTTGCTGACAAGGGAAGAGCTGTGATGGAGGTTGGAACAAGTTAGTGAAATAGAGAAGTTTTGAAAGAAGATGCTGAACTCTTCTGGTGTGTTTTCATTTATCTAAACCGTGAAAAAGGGGAGTAGAACAACAGACAACTGTACAAAATGGTGATCTGTGATCTTGCCCCATTAAAAAGGGATCTCTTAATCACCGGAGGGATCCATTTCTTCTTCTTTTGGGGATCTCCCCATTTGAATACATCTTAAGGTGCGTATGACCTAGGCGTGGTCAAATCTGTCCCTGGTTCACTGGATCTTTCAAATCCATAAGGAACGAAGGGTGTGCGGGCTGCTTCCATGCAAAATGAATATAGAACAGTATAAATCTCCCCTCTTCAATCCTGGAGGGCTGTAACACCCAAGGGTTCAAGTGACGGCTCTGGGGCTGGGGCAAGTAAGCTGCCAGCCTTGAGGCTGGGAGGGTGTTTGGCTGAGCACAGGTGCTTGGTGGTTCACAGTACTCGCTTGGGGCCAGCAGGCACGTTGGGAGGAAGTAATTGAAATAAAACACATCAGCACAATGTTATTTTCTCTGTCTTCAGCCTTCGTGGCAGAGATTCTCTCCAGCCTTCATCTCAACTTTATGGTTGTGGCAACCTGCACCCAGCCTCTACATTACTGTGGCCGCTTCCTCTTATGCAAGGCCACCTGTGCTCTTGTGTCACAGAAGTCAGTGGAAAATGAATTCAGATAAAATCTTTTCCATGGTATCACTTTGGATGCCACCTAACCTCCAAACTGAAGAAAGTGGGCAGCAGTATCATGTGGACTATGTAAGGTTGTAAAGCAAGGACCAGTTTAAAAGGGTGTTTGATTTAAAGTGCAAGGATTTCCAGGAATTTGGAGTGCAAAGTTTTCCAGGAATGCCAGCTCAAAGAAGTATGTTGTCCCTGTAAAGTTCTCCATTGATTCTGTAGGCTGCTTGCCCCAGGGGTTTTTTGAAGGTGACATCTCCCCTTTCAGAAAGCCCTGGCTAGCACTTGGTCTCCCCCAACGGGCTGCCATGGTGTCAGAGTGCCGCAGGACGCAGCGTGTGGCTGCTTCTTTGGGTGTCCATGGAGGTCCCTGCAGGCTGCAGTGTAACTGTGCTTCAGCTGCCTCTGACCTGCCTTATAATCGTCTTTAATACATCCCCTCTGCCCATGTGCAATTGAGGTAGAGCAGCATAAAGGGAAGAAATCTGTATACGTGCTGTAATTACACTGATGGAATAGAAGTGGTGCCACCTTTATATAGGGAAGGCCCTTAACAACTCTGTGACCTCTCCACTTATCCATGGGGAAATGAGGCTGTGACCTGTGGAGTTTCCATTGACTTCAGAGTCGGCAACACTACAGTATGTTGCGGTACAGTAGGATGAAATCTTGGCCCTAGTAATGGCAGTGGAATTTGGTATTGATTTTGAAGGTGTTTTAGGATTTCGACGGCAGAAATTACTGGCAAACCCTCGTGATGAAATAATCCAGTTATTTCCTGTCAAATAGAGGCTTCTCAGCAACATGGATGTTACAAAAATGCTTTTCAAATGTATTTTTTTTCCTATTGCAAACAAACATCTTGAGCTATTGACCCCACAGAGTAATACATGCATATAATAAAGTTATTCCCTGTCTATTTAAAAATTCCTTGTAACAATGTGGGTGGATCTGGCTATGCTGTTCTCCACCATAACAACGATTTATCCAAAGCAATTTGTTTCCTGGCCTAAATTTTGCAAAAGTATCTGGTTTCTAAAACCTTTGAGAAAGGGAGATATTTGCACCTGACACGTTTACAAGTAACTTAGATCAGGTTATTGATCAGCCCTGTGTATGTTGTTTTCCAGTGGGAGGATAAGATGGAGAGGCCAATCCATTACTGCAGCTATCTACCACTGGAAAGCAATAGCGCTAATGATACAGGTTTTCAATAGCTGATTTATATTATCCTGCAGTCAATAAAAACTCCTGATTTTTGTCACTGGATGGTTTAAAGCAATGCTCTCAAATGCTGCAGGCCCCAAATCCGCCCCTCTGTAACACAGCTGCTGTGTTACGAGTGGGTGAAAACTTAACAAAAACCCACCAGCCCTCCAGAGTGCGATCTGGCCCAGCCCTTTGCTCACTAAGTGGTGGGTCAGAGAGCCCTGAGCTGGTGCAAGCTCGTTCCAGTGAGTGATTCCTCTCAAGATGAGCTACGGCTCCGCTGACTGCTCCCCCCGCACCACGCCACCTGTGGGCAAAGGATGAGGGAGTTACAGCCCTGTCAGTTACAGCCCACCCTAGACAAAGATTGCAATTAAAATCTCGGTGTCTGACTGCTAATTTGCTGTTGATTAATGAGAAATCTGTGTTGGAAATTACAAACGATGGGCAGTAGCTGGATCCTCTTCCTCCTTCTAGTGATGCTTTGGGCGCCACGGAGGAGCTGCCCGCTGAACTCACGGTGGCACAGCTCCTGAGCAGAGGGCAGCAGCAGCGAGGAGCTGTGTTCACTGGAGAAAGCAGTTGACAAGCCATGTGAAACCAGCCCGAGCAGTCAGTGGGCACAGGCCCATCTCTTCTGGTTGTGTTTGAACATGAGAGTCACCACATCAAAGGACTGGCACAGCAGCTCAGCTCAGCTCGGCTGGTAGCTGGCCTAGGGGTGCTGTGGGAAAGGCTGCAGGAAACAGGTGGAGAGTGGAGCAGGCTTCCAGGATTGACTGTCCTGCGGTCAGGAGGTTGGGTATATGAGGAGTCCAGACTCCAGCTTTCAACTTGGGCTGGAAGTTAGCAGCAGAAGGAATCGTGCTCAGATGTATGATGCGCAGGGGAGGCACAGAGCTGCTCTGAGCCGTGCGTCCTTTGCCCCTGCTAGCCACTCCTCCAGACCTCAGCCACATCTTATCTGGCCTGTGTGGCTCGATACTCAGGTGGTTCCCCACAACATGTGCACAAGGGGAAATGATGTCTCCAGGCAAGCTCTGTGCTTGGAGATGAGAGGGTGGATTTAGCGGAGAGGTTTGCACGCTCAGATGGGCTGACCTAATGGGACAGTTAATGTGGTTCTGGACTTGCACATACCCTGTTTTCAGGCAAACATTTCATGCAGATTTGTAACATGCGATAGCTGCCAAGCATCTTTTACACAGTCACAGTCTAGTGACTGAAGGATCCGCTAATTAAGAAGCCCCTAATTAGGCTTTTAAATGATAAACTGTAATAGCTCTAGTGCAGCTGTTGTAAACTATAGAGTAAATTATACCCAGTTGAAAGAGGCTTTAATTACGTATTTATATAACAGACTTTAAGGACTTTGAAAGATAAAAGAATTTTTAGTGTGTGCAATTAAAGAAACAAGAGAGTAACAATAGAGCTCTTAAACCAATGAAAGCAAGGAAATTCAAAGTTAATCTGAAAAGCCACGCTGGTACTTTGTTTTTCGCTCATGGCATTCTAATTTTTGGGGTTTGTTTTTATTCTTTTTGTTTTCCTAATGGATGAGATAAAGAAGTATTGTCAGCCAGGAGTTTATGTTCCCTGCTCTCAATTTCCTAGCTTTTATAGGTCCACGTACAACCTTAGTGATACTTCAGCAAACTTTCTGTGGCTTCATTTTTGCAGAAGTTCCAGCAAGAAGACCCTTATTGACCACGTTTTCTCCTTGCATCCTGAGTTACAGAATGGTTGGTTGTACACCTGCCTTTGTGAAGTCAGCTGGAGCTCAAAAGTTGGTTGTACTGAGCTTGGACACCACATTCAGACCAAAGCTAATCTGCACGTTTTTGGTATAGTTTTGGTATAAGTTTTGCTTACCACGTGGAGAAAAGGGTTGGGTGTACCTGGGAATATTTGGCTATTTGGAGACTGCACTGTGGGCTCCCTTTTGGCAGGGTTCAGTCCTGCTCCAGTGAAATTGAGGAAAGTTAAGCCCTTGTCCACATCTGGGGCTAGCTCCAGTCTGCCTACCTGTTAGATGTGAACACTGCTGCTGGCCCCACAGCTCTGCCTGACAGTACCTCTCTTGGTAACCTCACCAGCTCAGTCTCCAAACTCTCTTCTGCTCTCAGCCTCCCTGGTTTACCCAGCCCTGTTTGCTGCCCTTCCTTACCATCTCTAGTCACAAATAATATCGATGCACAGCAGTGAATATGTACTTCTGTATAGAGAAAAGGAAAGCTGTCTGTGATGTGCCATCCGTTGCCTGATGGATTTGCTGATCTGTTGCCGGTTCTTTTCATTTCTTAGATTACTGCTCCTCAGGACTAGGACTGTGTCTTTTCTGCCTGCGCACCTCCACCAGGTGGAGGATACAGACTTGAGCCTGCAGGGAGCAGAGTGCTCTGTTCCTGTAAATGCTCCCTGGGACTGGCCTTCACAGCTGTAGGACTCGGCAGCCCACGGCAGCCAGCCAAGGTAGCGCTTTTTGCTTATTCCAGCCGCATCCAAGTATTCGTATCTGAAAATATCACAGCAAGGAAAATAAGGAATACCATTCTCATAGTTAATTTTTACGTCCAATTAATTAGCCCAAAGAGTATTAAATTGTGCTAATGTAGTTTGCCTCTTCGATGCTGTCTTTTGACTTCAATGGAACTAAATATGTGCTTAAAGTTAACTACATGCGTAAGTGCTGTGGTGAATCGGGGCCTAGGGCATTAATTAGAACTTGGCTCAGATTTACTTTCAAGGCTTCCCCCCCCCCCCCCGCTTTTTTTTTTTTTTTTTTTTTTTTTAACTCTTCAGAGCTCAGCAGTTTAATTGGTATGCAGATGTTCCCCTTTATTGCTGGCAGAGGCCTCTGTCACTGTTCTGAAGGTACTCAGACATCAAGGCTGGTACAGTGGGCAGGAAGAAACCCCCCCTGAAGGCTTTCAAGCTTTGTGGGAAATAATGATGTATGAGACAGGGTTTCCTTTAGAACCTGAAGGGAACATGACAGACAGAATAATATGGGAGGAAAACATTGTCTTCACAATTGAGACTGATGGTCTCATCTTGTCTCCTTGTTATTGTTACCAACCAAGACTGAGATGAGCTTTCTTATGAAGAACTTCATTTCGTGGCAGGTTCTATATGTTGGACACACTGCGCTCAGTGGTAGCTTTCCATCCAAGGTACAGATATTGACAGGCTCTGAGGAACCCTTTGGGGCAGTGTTTTAGCTTGAAACCTAAAATTCCTTCCAGCATTCAGATGCATTTTGTCAGGAGTGACAGTTGCAATTTGATAATCTTTTACCACTTTGCCTGCCTATCTCAAACAGCTAGCTGGAGGGGAGAAACCCAGGGTTGTTGGGCTCAGGAATGTCAGCTTTATGAATCAGCTTTTCTCGCACTTTATTAATTTCACTTTCCAGTGGTTAGTGCATGTTTGGAAGAGACAATTGATTTGTACGGATCTGTGTAGGATGGAGCGAAGCTGGAACTAAAGAAGGAGTGCAAGTTGACAGCGATGCAATAGCTCTAATTGACAGATACCAAAGGCACTATTTAAAGCAACTTTTCTTCTGTTAAAGTTAAAAATCGCCTTCAATTTGTCCCCGATTGCCATGTTCAAAAAGAAGTGTTTGCATGTATATTCATTCAAAATGGATTAGCTGAAATATCAAGTGCTCATTCTATATGCTTGTATTTTCAAGTTAGATGATCCAAAATGCTCTTGTGCAAGGTACAGAAAGATGGCAGTTTCTTAACTCCTCCAGAGTAAAAGCTGTCTTTCAGGGGACACTTAGCACATGTGAGATTTGTGTTAGTATTTTTTGGCACCCACAGTTTCGTCAGAAATGCATTTCAGCTAATGGGAGGCAGAAGGACTAATACACGAGCTGTGTGTTGTGGGTGCAAAAATGCAAGTAGAAATTACACCCACTGCTGGAAGGGCTAGGAAAATGTACCTTCCTGGATGTGAGCAGGGCAAGTTAGGAAATATCAGCCTCCTTTTACAATTGGCTGTTACTCTTTACATTTCTGGAGAACTGGGATCTTGCTGTTAATCTTACAAAAATAGATGCTGTGGTGAAGCCTCAGGCATGAATAAAATTGGATGTTAATCTTAAAGCAGATTTTTTACAGCTATGCACTCAGAGCCAGTGAATCCAAATGATTTTGGAAACTCTGTGTTTGTTACTTATTTAGATCAAAATGCTGGGGGGAAGAAAGGTCAGTGGCATAGGTACATATTGTAACATTTGGGGCTTCTTAAAGTTAAGCAGATAAGGGCAGCAAACATTAAACATCTCTGGCTTGACACAAATAATAGGCAAAGCTGAAAAAAGCCTGCTGACAAGAGGAGTGGGTGTTGGTGGGTGACTTGCTGCAGTTTTAGAGCTGTTAAGTGTAGGTTTTTTAGCATTTTCATTATTTAAAAGTAGAGTGGTAGTTTCTTCACTCCCTCTGAAAAGTTACTAATTTACTCTGAAATACAGGGTAACCCACAATGATTTAACAGATTTGTAATGTGCTTTAGAGTGATTTCAAGTAACAGACGCCCTCCTTCTCGCCAAGCTTCCCACTGTCTCAGCTCTGCCTCCACTCCTTTCTCTGTGTACATCTGCACCAAAATGCAAAGCAGGGACTGCCCCACGTGTGACTTTCATCTGCCTAGCTCCAGTGTCAACGGGTTGGGTGGCTTTGACCATTCATGCTCATGCAGGTTTCCCTTATTCCCAGTGTTCAGAACCAGAGGCTGTGTTAGCAATGCTTGGATTCTGGAAATCGCATTGCAGAGCATGGAGTGGCTCAAAAGGACCTGCCTCTGCTGGTACCGCTGCAAGTGGGCTGGCCTTCCTGACACGTAGGCGTTTTGCTCAGTGCATGGAAAGTGCCTAGCGGAGCATGGCTTTGGGCTGTGATTAAGGTCCCCAGGGTGCTCCTGGGATCCAGGCAATACTGAGTAATCTGCAGTCCTCCGTGTTGGATTCAGAGCAAGCACCTGAGTTGCGTTCCCAGGGGGCTGTCCAACAAAGACAGGCTGCGCGTGGGATGGGAGGTGGTGGGGATGTTCTCTCTGGTTAAGATGAACCAGATCTCAGCCATCCATGCAGAGACCACTCATGCCTACCTATTGTTGTGTTCAATAACCATGCCTACAGCAGGATGTTTAAGCCAGAGGCCCCTCTGCATGGATGATATTTCAATTTGATGGAGCCTCGCTGAGAAGAAGCTGGCCTTGCATTTACTCAGAGAGGTCTCCAGTGGTTTGTGGTAAGGAATTGGGACCTGGGGCTGAAGCCACAACCTCCAGGACCAAACCACAGAATTTACACAACTCCTGCCAAGGCCTGCCAATTTGCCTTCCCAGCTGAAGGTCTGTGTCACCACACATCTGCTGCTTTTGTATGCGGTTGCCATTGCTGTTTGAAGGAAGAATCTATTTTGTTCAACATAGCAATATTGTCTGGCTTAGTTTAGTTTTATTAGCTGCTGCTGATTTGTTACTATTCAGTGCATCTGTGGGCTTGTTTAGTATTGATAACCAAGGGTAGAAATACCTGAATGGAAAGCGAGATGGAGATGTTTTCTCCCCGTCTGCCCTGCCCTTGTGAGACCCCACCTGGAGTACTGCATCCAGCTCTGGGGCCCCCAGCACAAGAAATACTAGGACCTGTTAGAGCCACAAAAATGATCGGAGGGCTGTAACTCCTCTCTGTGAATAAAGGCTGAGAGAGCTGGAGTTGTTCAACCTGGGGGAGCAAAGGCTCCGGGGAGACTTCACTGCAGCTTTTCTGTACTTGAAGGGAGCTTATAAGAAAGATGGAGAGAGACCTTTTACGAGGGCATGTAGTGATAAGACAAGGGGTAATGGTTTTAAACTAAAAGAGAGTAGACTTAGATTAGATATAAAGAAGACGTGAAGGTGATAAGGCACTGGAACAGAGTGCCCAGAGATGCTGTGGGTGCCCCATCCCTAGAGGTGTTCAAGGACAGGTTGGAAGGGGCTTTGGACAACTTGATCTAGTGAAAGATGTCCCTGCCTATGACAGAGGTGTTAGATCAGATGATCTTTGAAGGTCCCTTCCAACCCAAACCATTCCATGATTCTGTGCTGAGGTTCTGGAGGCCTCCAGGGTTTCTTTTGCTCTTCTTCCTTTCCCTGTTCTAGTGGGCCTGAAGAACACTTATCTGTTCATAACAGAAATGATTCAAGGTGCATGGGACTGAAAGGTCACTGTAAGTTTCTGTTGCTCTCCTGGTGCGACTGGTATAGATCACATCTTGCAAACTTTAGGGAAGAAAGCTTTTGTTACAAGGAGAGATGGTGAGCTGGTGCCACCGACCTCTGTTTGGAAAAACATTTTTTGTGTGTGAAACCTTTCATGTTCTGGAGGCTCAAGTCAACTGCTTTTGACCTGGGAGCTTACAGCATAGGTTAAGTGCAGCCATATGAGGGCTGAATAGATCTCAGCTTCAGAGACTCACACATATAACTCTCCTTGACTTGAACTGGAGAAGGGCCAGAGTTTGTTCACTTTCACTTTCTGTCGCTAAGAAAAATGAACACTGTTTTACAGAAGCTATAATTCCTTCCTTTCTTCCCAAATAGATGATGACTAAAGAAGGCCTGAGCTGAGTTATAGATATTCTTATATTTACTTGAAGTGAATGTAGCTCATAACTCTTATTTTAGCACCAATCTGGAACACTACTGTGAACAGATTTACAAAGTCTGCCTGTTCCTTACCTTGGCATTCGGGCATTTATGCTCATTCTTGCGCTGATTCTTTGGAGTTTAATGAAGCCAAATATCTGAAAGGTGAGTAGGTAAAAGGTTAGTTTCATACACAAACCTATTCCTTCTGTGCACTCCATAATCATCTTCCAGTTCTTAAGCATGGTTTTCTTCTTCTATACAAAGGGGTGAGGCACTGTTTGCTTCTGTTTTTTTTTTTTTTTCTTCTTTTTTTTTCTTTTTTTTCTGGTATGTGTGTCATCAGCAGTTACTAACTTTATTCTAGTTGCAGGGTCCTTTGTTGTTGGATTGAAAAGACTACTAACTTCAACCGTGTGTTTTTAGGCTAGACACTTACCAAAACCCTTTACTGCATTTATAGAACGAGCAGATTTAATCTGGAAGTCATTGACAGAAACCAATAAAGGACTTCCTTGATGTGATTTTTGGAGTTACTCTGTGGACCTGAATTGCATAGTTTCAGGTATTGGACGTAAGGGCACTTGAAAAGATAAAAAAGGTTAAGTGTAGATGACAATGAAAATGTTATCAGGATATATAGGTCAGTCAATAATGTCAGTGTGATATGTAAAGTGATATGAAATACCACTTTGATTTTATGGACAGTGCCTTACTGTGTATAACTTACTGCAATAACATGATCCTTAGACTACATAGTTTAACTTTTAAAGTTTGTTAGTAATCTAATTGCCTTGAAATGCCTTATGAAAAGTATGCTTATTACAGAACACATACAGTTGCTATCTGCCTAGTGTTAACTGCTACAGCAACCTAAGTTATGAGAACACATTTGGAAAAAACTGTGCCAAACAGAGATTTTTATATTTTTTGTGACTGTTGCTGGAAACGTTCATTGACATTTAGAGATGTGGTCTTTCAACTAGACTTCTTGCACCCAAATTATGTGCAGATTTCAAGAATCTTCAAGCCTACAGTTGTGTGCCATAAGTGCAGTATTAGCCTTTCTTTTAATAGGGATAACTTTGGAATAGGTATCTTATTTAGTGGATTGCCTTCCTTGTCATTCATCACTGTGTAACATCTTTGTAGAACTGCAGTAACTGGAAGGAAAGAAAGCACTGGAAGTGTTTTTGTAATTGGAGCTCGGTTTGGCAGTTTTACCTTTCTGGAAAAGAAACGCTAGTTTTTCTTCTTTGCTTTGCAATCCCATTTTTGTGTTGTTGTGTACTGGAACAAAAGAATAAAGGTGAACACTGAATAAGCTGTGAATTCTTTTTGGATCAGAGTTTGGGAATCTGTTCTGACACACGTTTTGGTGTTACTTTTTCCTGGGGGGCTTTATTCACAAACTTTCAGAACATATTCTTCCAGTAGGATTTCACATAGTTTGGTAAACATTTGAATAAATTTCATACCGTCTTATCAAAGTAGACACAAATACTTCTTTCTTCATGAACTGAGATGAATTTAAATGCTCATTTATGTTGGTGGGTTAATAATTAAGCATATAGACTCATCAGTGGTTTGCCATTTCATTGCAGGAGTAGGGTGAATGAAAACCTCTGTCAAAAAATTAGAGATGAAATACTGAATTAACATGCCAAATAATAGTGCATCAGTAGTATAGCTTTCTACTCTGGACAATGTTTAAGATGTATCTTGCTCATGGAAGCTCTGGAAACATTGTGAGTCTTGGTCAAACATAGTGCAACCTCAGACTGTAAGGTTGTTACCATTCTTTGAGCACTGTGCACTTGGAGTCTGTTTTTGGCTGGTGGAAATCTATCCAGTATTTGGGGAGCTTGGTGGTGCAGGAGACAATCACAGATGCTCTATTAGAATAACTTAACACTGTCATGGGGCAAGACTCAGCCTCTGTTCTTTTTTGCACTTCTGAAACTGGTGTGATATTAATTAGATTGTCATCAGGTTTCATTAGTGAAGCCCCATAAAACAAAAAAGGAATGGCTCTACAGCGGTGTGAAAACTTTGTATGTCACTTATATTGAATGTGTGGGTAGAGATCAGCGCTCATGAAGGCAGTGCTTTTCCAGAAACATTTAGGTAAAGTGTCTAGGTAAAAGCTGAACAGAATTTTGTTTGCTACCTCATAAAATGGTGATCTCTTCCCTTCTAGGTAAGTTCAATTTTCCTCTCAATGATACCCCTGCACCTTCAACTAGATTTTTCCCCGGGTGGCTGCAGTGAATGGACCTGACCAAAGAGGGAATCTGGCCCACTGAATTCCTTTTCTTTCTCTGCAGTTGAATGAAAAGCATGTGCCTTTTGAAGAACAGCGACTGAAAGAAATACTGATGACTGCTGGGACATCTACAGAAAAGGATAAGAAAATTACTCTACTACAACAGAGGCTCTGTTAACTCTTTCTTGTAGGTTGTATATATTAATAGTAACAACTAAAGTTTTGTATTTTTGCAGGGAAACACACAAGGCTCTGAATTGTATTGTTTTAATTGCAGCTAACTGAATGAATTAAGTGGAAAATCGCACACAAATCGCACACAGTGCTTTGATTGTCTAGCTCTCTGTATGTGAGGCTTTGGGAACAGTTTGTTATTATAAAAGAACAGCACTAACAAGAAATCAGCCAACATATAATTGCTAGGCTGAGGGACAGTTTGGGGAAAGCTGATATTTATTTATAAATTATTAAATAAAAGAACATAATATGTGGATCATCTCCTACTGCCTCCGCACTTCAGATATTACTCATCTTCCTAAGCTCTGTGTTCTCCAGGACGTTGCTTCTTATAACTAATCCAGGGGTTGAAACCACCCACATCCAGGAAAGGAGATGCCTGTGCATTTGTTATGATGGCAGTTTTAGTTATGGGACTCACCTAAGAACATGAATCTGCAGTTCAAGGAAAGGACTCAACCAGAGAGGTGCTTTATGTGCCTAAAATACACATGAGCACCTGGGACCCTATTTAGGTAGCCTAAATTCAGTTAGTGTTTCCTACTTGACAATCATCTATCCAATATCCTAAATAGAAGGGCTAAAGAGCAGTTTAGGCACTCAATTTAGTGGGGTTCTCAAAAGCATTAGATATATTATTTCCATAAATTTTTGAAGGAATGATGCTACTTCTGTTTGTCTCTTGTTTTTTGCTCCACCTGCTAAGTGCTATATGACCCTAGAACCACAGCCACTTTGCAAGACAGAGAGGAGGATGATGGTGGTTGGACTCACCCAGAGGCTGGAACAGTATTTCGTCATTAATTGTTTTAGCTACCGAATATCTGCTCTAGCTTTTCTTGGGGATGGAGCTGCAGTGCCTTCCTCCAGGATAGACTTGTGGGCTTTTCTCCAGGAAGGCAAAGGTAACTATTATCGTTGGCCCAGTGCTTCACACTTGTACGGTTTCCTCTCATTTCCAAGCAAGAGCTAATAAACTGAAATTATTAGGGATTAGCCCTCTGAGGCTTTCTAACTGTGTGGGAAGAACATTCTTTCCTCTACCTTTCCCTTGGCTGCTGAAGAGGTGATTTCTGGGACATGCACAGCTCGTCTTCTTTGCCTTGCTGCCCTTCTCAAGGGGCAGTAGTAGGTGTTGGGAGATGTGCTACTCGCAGTCAGTAGGCAACTATGTTGGGAGATGTGCTACTCGCAGTCAGTAGGCAACCAGTAGCCTGTGTTTCAGAGGACCCGGTTGCAAAGCAGGTGCACTGACACCTAAGCAGTTCCTCACATGGCCGTGCGACAAGGGGGTGGGCAATGTCTGGGCCTCACAAGTGAAATTTTTGTTTTGCAGCAGAGGGTTTGGTGTCGGAAAGGTGTGCCATCACCTAGCTAAAGGGCATTGCTGGACACGGTTTGGACACACACGGGCTGCTAGATACAGATAATGTTCATGCTCTACAAACAAATCACATTATTAAACCACTGAAGTAGTGCTTATGCAACTTTAAAATAGTAGAAGTTTTATTTTACAACTTCACCTGCAAGCTTGTTTAAACTTCTGTATCCACATCATAGGGCATATTCTCTCTCCTCATTTACTTCTGTAAAGCCCTGCAGAGTTATAGTAAGGTCCAGCTGAAATGATGTGAAGATGATATCGCAAATGTTGGCTACCAACCTATGGTAGCCAGACTATGTCTGTTGTGCCAGAAGGTGCCTGAGAGGTGGAACTGGGCAAAATTTGATTTTGCATGGTTCTTGCTAAGAATTGCTAAATATCCCTGTAGCTGTTTTTTGAAGTCTGAATATATTTTTTCCCCAAATAAGTTATTTTTTCTACAAGAGAATGTAGCTACGTTTATGGAAGGTCTTGGCTTTTACAGTATATGAAGTCCATATAGTTTCCACTCTGGATACATGTTGCCTGCATAATTACAGTCATAATGAAAAACAGTTTTGTTACACAAGATTTCAACAGCTATCTGTAATTTAGAAAATATTGGAGCTACTTACAACAAAAGAAATAATAAAAACAGAACAGCTTTGAAAATGTTGATATACTCAGGAAAACAAATCTTCATTTTAACCCTGTTCTATTACTCTCTCTCTGGTACTAAAATCTTTATAAAGCACTATTGATTTCAGCCAACTCAACATAAGATAATTTAGAGCTTCCACCCTGCTGTCCCCAGCTTCGGGGGGATAAATCTTGGCAGCCGTTGGCTGGGTTTTGGAAAAGCCTCAATACAACGCTTGTGTGCACTGAAAAAGCTGCTCTTGCTGCAAGGAGTAACTCACCTTCACCTCACCTCTTTCTCCAGCAGGACGTGGGAAAGTTACAGGATTAAATTATCCTTGATCATGAAACTAGTTGTATTGGAGGCACTCAAAATGCATGTCTTTTCAAACCCTTATATATTGTAAAAGTATTTAAAGATAACAGCATGGTATTGCCAAGAAATGCTGTCTTCTGAGGCCTACAATTAACTCTATCAAAGGAAGGGATCTCATTTTTCCCTGCTGTGGATAGAGAGTGCATCTCAGAGCAGTGTAAAGTTAAAGATAGATACAACGTATGGTTCAAATCATGATACAAAGAAAGATTCAGGTTAATTAGTATTTAATCTTAGTTCTCAGTAATTCCTTTTGGCTTGAGCAAACAGACAGGAGTTGGAGCCCCATAGAATTGCTTCTCCTGAGAGGAGAAATGAATGAAAGATGGTCTCCATGGTAAAACTTAGTTAGGGATAGGGATGTCACTAGGATTTTTCTTCGCTCCTTGGCTCCATTAGCCAGCACTCTCCCCAGAATGCCACCCATCCCTTGGTGGCCCCAGTGCCACAGCAATGGCCAGGCTGCTCCCTGACCTCTCTGCCTGGCCCTGCCTGGGGATGTAGCACCTCCTGACCCCGAGCTGGTGTTCCAGTCACAGACATGTTGCCTGCTGGAGCGCACCTGGGCCCAGGCGTTGTGCCACCACCCACAGCACACCTGGCGGACATCTGCAGAGGATTCCCTGAGGTGTGGCTCAGCACCAGCAGGTAGGGGGGGTTTAGGCGGGGACCACCGTGACCCAGGGGGCTGTGGACAAGGGGACGTGTCCAGGTCCCCCTTGACGTGGTGCTGTTGCACACGTGTGTCCCAGTGGCCCCTGTCTGTTGGGTCGCCATTTCTGGTTGTTTTACACTGCGGAGAGCGGTTGCACAAGGGCTGCTGGCCGGCTGCCAGGCTGTGGGAAGGGCGACCCTCCGCAGCTCCTTGAAGGTTTTCGGTTCCCTTTTTCCACTGCTGTTTTTGGCAACGCCACCGAGGCTCTTCCCAGCAATGACCGGACAGCCTCGGCGTGCCCGTTTATCTGAAGCAGCGCTATTTTTTTCACGAGCTCTTCCCGACACCTCTGCGGGCAGCACTGCCCGCCAGACCCTCGACATTTCTGCACCTCCCTTTGTCACTGTTTACATTTATTTTTCCCTGTCAGTGTCCAGATGGAGGTTAGATGTTCTCGGGGGGGTCCCCTGGCTGCGAGCAGCCCCCCGCGGTACCGCAGGGGCTGTGCGGGACCTTCCCGCCTCGACCCACCACCATGGAGGGGCAGCTCCACGGTGGGCGGGCTCTGGACCTCAGCCCCGCAGCCATAGGACAGCGCTTTTCCCGCTCTGCGACGCGATTGGTCAGATCGCCCCAGTGGGAGGGGCCCCTGGTATAAAAGGCTGGGGGAGGGAAGGCGGGCGCTTCTTGCGTGAGGCGCGACCGTTGGCACGCGGTGGGGTGCTGTTGGTGTGGTATCGCCTCAGGGCGGGCTGGCGCAGGCACGGCTCGAGGTGCGGCTGCATGCATGGGCCTGGGGCTCTTCCCCGCACACCTTCTGGGGATATTTGCTCTAAAGCCTCGCCAAAGTTTAAATTTGGCTCTCTTAAGGTGGTTTTGGTCATCCCGTGAAGAAGCGTGAGCCCCCAGCCTGACTGCCTCACGGTCTGGTGCAGGTTCTTGTCGTGTGGAGCTGCGGCTCTTGGCTGCTGTTACCGGCCCTGCCTGTGGGGAGCGTGCTGGGGAGCTGCGAGGTTGGACGGGGCTAAAATTCAGAGTTTTAAAACTAAACAGCCCCCTAAGCTGTGTTTTTGAATGCAAAGTTGCTCCCTGAGGGGAGGAAAAGGACTTCCAAGTGTGCCCACGGCAGAATCTGTGGTGGTTCTGCCGCAGAACGGCTGTGGTAGCCTCTGGAGATACTCTCCTCTTGGAGAGGAATGGGAACGTGTACTAATGGCAGGTAGCCTGTAGGCTTGTTGAGAGTTCGGTTGATGAATGTTTTATTCCTACGTCAGTGGTGGTGTTTGCAGTCTTCTTCCTCCCTGACTGCCCCACGCACAGAGCCTTATGCTCTATGCTGAGCCTTGTGAAGCCCTGGTGCCGTTAGCTGCGCAGCTGCCTCTGTAGCACCCAAGCAGGAGCTAGAGTGGATGAGGCACGTTGCTTTAGCACACAAAAATCTGAAATCTAAGCCGAATCATGCATAATGCTTACACCACCCATTTCTGGGCTGCTGCGTGGGGCAGGCAGCCCCGTTCCTTGACAGTTTGCCTCTGTGGATGCATAGACCCTTTGCTGATTTTGGTCACCACTATCAGCATGACAGCATTAAGCAGCTCTTAGACATGCAAATACGTGGACAGATGGGCCTGAGGATCATTGAACTGATTTGAAATTGACTTTGTTTCCCCTTTTCCTGCTCTGTTCCCCTGGTCTTTAATGAAATGATGCAAATGTGTGTTCAATAAATACTTATCTTCCTGTCTTTTGCTTGCCTCTAGAAAGAAGTGGACAACACTCAAACACGTAACCTGTGTGGTGGAAGCATGAGGACAACTTTAAATGCACGGTGAACTCCAAGATGTGTGGCAGCTACAGGTAAGCCTAAAAAATTCTGTTGTATATTGATGTTACTGCAGAAAACACTGAACTGAGAGGCAGGTGATTCCTTGTGTTGACTTATTTGGCAGTACATTCACTTTTAGGCTGTGCTTAGATACAGTGTTTCTAATTGACTAAGGGTTCTGCCAGTTCCCTGCATGAAACTGACTTTTAGTGATGTGATGAGGCTGGATGTGATAGATAGAATTAGGCAGATCTGCCACCCTGGAAAGTACTGGATATAGATTCTGATTGTGAGCTGCTGAAGCAAAAGGAAGATTTCAGTGTGTCTTCCCTTTCTCCTGCGTTCCTGTGAAGGTGGGACTTGAAGTCTAGGACCTCAAGTCTAGGAGCTTGGATTATTAATTCCTGCTGTGTTCTGTTCCAGATAATGGTGGTCCTCCAGCCTTTGCACTGTCTGACAGCTCTGAGTGAGCACAAATCTGTTCCAGGGCTGAACATGGATATAGCTGTCAGTGTTAGTGTTTAAGCTATTATAGCTGGTTTTCAGAGCAAACCTTTATTTTAAGATGAAGTGTATACTATGTGTTTCTTGGAGCTGTTGTTTCAGGCTTTCTGCAGGTTCAGGAAGGCTATATTGAACTTTGGCAAGTATATACTGAAGAGGACGTGGTTGAGCTCACATTTTGAAATAGCTCTTCCACCACATGGGTGATTGTGTACTGCATCCCTTTTAACTGATGACTTCTATTCCACAGTATAAATTTGTAACAGTGTCTCTGGAACATTACAGTAAATGTGTTTGCTGGAATATATTTGCTGAAGTAATATATTTAATAATTCCTTTATTTCTAGCATGACTGAAATGACTACATACAGAATGTCATTAAAAATTAATATGCTTTGGTAATTGCATGTTTCTACCAGCTTTTTAGCACCTCACTAGGAAATACTTTCTCCTATTTTATTGTGTCTATTTTAAATGAATGTCATTGATATGAGGAAAATAAGTGTTCATACTGAAGGGTGCTGGCTAAAACTATTCATTTCTTTTAGAATATTGTGAAGCATTTTCACACTAGAGATCATTTCAAAAAACTAAACAATCCAGTAGCACAGAAAGCTTGTGATTTTCAAGTATGTGTGTGGAAGGGAAAGGTTTTAAGAGACTTGTGAGGAATAAGGGGGAAAAAGAAGACTTTTTTTGCACCTCGTATTAACTGGTTGGCAAGTTGAAATCATATATATATGTCATCCCATGGCTGGACAGATCAAGCAAATGCTGCCTTTGAAAGGAAGGGAAATATCTTGGATTCCTGAACATCGCGTTTCCCCTTGCTGATTATCATACATTCAGTCCTATAGAGCGCTAAGTCTTTGGTTTAGTTTCCCATGCAGAGAATGGGACAAGATGAAGCACAGCTTTACGCTGCGGAATTTCTAGCTCGTTTCAGAACGTCCATGAGCTTTCAGCAATGCTCTATACACAGTGCAAGTGCGAATGTACAAGTATTTCTTGAGGTAACGCTTCACCATGTTACTTTCTGAACTTGAGTAATTGCTAACAGAGTAAAAATGTACTTGGAAAGAACATCCCTTTCAGAAAGGCTGCTGCTGGTTTTGGTTGAATTTACCTTACTGTACATGAGAACATTCCCTAGTAATCAAAAGTTAGCAGGACACGGGGCTATCACACTGTCCTGGTGCCCATGTTGCTAGCTGCCCATCAGACTTTCTGAAGCGGACGGTTTTGTCAAAGAATGAGAAATTTATTTGTGAACATGGCAAACTCCAGGTGTGGGGGTTATGTTTGAAGTTACACCTACTTGGAACAGCTCCCAAATGGTAAGTCCATGAGTAGCAATGACTGTCCTTTCCCCTTTCCTTAGTTTGACCTTTCTGCCATCTTGGTGGGATGTCTTCTGTCTATTTGTACTTTTTGTATACATAGAAACTGATTTTTTGTATACTTAGGAACTGAATGTACCTTATCTGTATTTGGGTTCTGCAGCATTCAGAAATGACCCTTTCTCACTGCACTGAATGTCTTCCCATTTTTGCTTGAATGATGCACACAGTGCTGAGCTGTGTATATCTTTCACCAGAAATATTTTTTTTTAATGAAAATGACCAGTTCTAGAAGAAACTTGCAGATTATTGCAAGTTAGGCAGATTCACGGCAGACCAGTAGAACTGAAATGTTTCACGTTCTGTAACTCCTTTTATCACTGACAGCTAAAATTCAGGCTGTCAGCATTGAGACTCTTTCCCTGTTGGCCCTTCAGATTCCAAGTGTGCTTGGTAAACTGTGAAGCTGTGTGCATCTGGGAGGGTGCGCATGATGCTAGTGTCATTGCAATTTGTGACAATAAAAATTACTTTTAGACTGCCATGCTTGGTGTTTCTAGGAGGCCCTTGCAATTTAAGGAGTGGGCAGATGCTGTGATGGGCTTGGAGCCTAAGTAATTCTCTGTGGGTGTTCAGATAGGTGAGGCTATGAGAATGTGTGGGTTATGGCAACAAGTAGTCCCTTTTAGCACTGTGGTCCTGCTCTGTTTGGGAGGAGGTAAAAGCACCTGCCCTTCAGAGCCAGACGTGTAGCCACTCCAGTAAAGCTGCTTATGTGCTTAGGTTGCTGGGGGCTGCCTGTCTAGGCATGAGAAGGAGACCAAAGAGCCAAATGCGAACTCCAGCAGTCCTGGGGCTTTTGTCTTTCTCGCTATGGGCCTTTCAGTCTGTTAGTCATCGGGATGCCTTACTTGGAGGTTGTGTACAGAATGGAAAACTGAGGTTGTGTCAGAACAGCTGTCCCACAGACTTTCCTAGGGCTGTGAATGTTAGATGCACCTTCTCCCCAGGTCAAGTCACGTCTCCGAAGTCTCTCTCCCCCAGTGTGGAACCATTTGTTTCAATAGATCCTTGACTGTGTTGTCTGTTGAGTGGCCCCTTTTACAATGGTCAAAACAGCTCAAGATCTTCCATGAAGCTTCATTATTCTGCTTGCAACAGTTAGGGAAGTGATACTTGGAGAAAACATTAAAGCAATCAAAGAGTAACTGAGGCTATAGAGCAAGCTGAAGGAGCGCTGTCAGTGTTGTCCTGGGTCCCCAGGCGGGATGTCCTAAACACTGCAGCTGCGTTCCCACCTTACCTTAACTCCCCAAACAAGGGTGGAGAGGAAGCAAGAAGAGCAAGACATTTCCGCAGCGATTGCAACACGCTCTGATAGGCAGGTTCCCTCTCCCTGCCCTGTGACAAGCATGGTGTAGGCCACAAAGTGCTGCAATCCTTATCGGGGCTTTTGGGGCTTTTCTTTTTTTAAGAATTCCATCTTTGCAGTCACTTCTTCCTCCCTCACTGAAGGGGGTGGGGGGCGCTGACTAATTAACAACTGTTCAGTAGCAGATGCTGTTGTGAAAATTGTTTGATGGTGATTTAACTAGGAATACAATTCTCTTAAAGGGCCACACAGACATTTTCCAACCCCCTAGATGATGTGGGCTCTGTTTGGTGTATGAAACCAGCCTACAGTGCCCTGAAAAGAACCCTGCTGCTCTTCTTTCACAATGATACCTTGGAGGCATTACAGTTGTCCTGCATTAGCAGTCATTGGTGTATTAGAGATGGTAATGACATTGACTATTGGATACACCTAGTCACATTTTTTAATTGGAGAAAAGCCAGGGCTGGTGCTGGTTACCTGTTTCACTCCTCCAAATGCAGTTAACGTGCAACCAACATTGGTTGTTTTCTTCTGTCTGAAATCACATTAACATTAGTCATGTAAAATGCTATAGTGTTTTGAAATCAATATTTATCAACATACCCTATTGTGGTTTATTTCTAGTCTGCTGATGTGATTGACTAGTATCTCATATGACCATGACATTTGTAAATGGAGCAGGGAGTGTGTCATTGCCCTTTAGGTTGCTGTTTTCCTGGGAATTGTTATCAGATCATGATATTCTCATAACAGACCCTAAGCTGTAGTTGTAACACTGAAGCCAGGAGAGCTGTAACCAGTTTTCGCGAGTGCCAGCTTTTCCAATTGCTTTTAGCTTAGTTTTTAGAGGAGCGATCGAGGTGTGTAAATGTGGTGAACTGGTGTCACGTGAGGTGAGCGAGCTCCACATGTCACAGCTGAGGAGCAGTGGTCTCCCAAATGTCCTGGGTCAGTCTTGGCCCTGTGCAGATGTTGCAGGTGCCCTGGGGTAGCTGACTTGTGCTTGACAATTTGGTCAGGCAGCTGACTCTCATTCCAGGTTTCTGCCAGCTGTCTCCCACAGGTGAAATACCTTCAGTGCACAGCCATCTGCTAACACCTTGTCTCTCCCACTGAGCAGGCACAGGCTCAGTCCTCTTAGTTACTCCCCAGCTACTGCATCACTCATTGCAAGCTTAGTGATTTGGGCAGCTTTCAAGAGATGTGTTTTTTTTCCCCAATACCACTTGGGAAGATTTCCTCACATGTATGGGAAAAACCTGTCTTGCCAGCAGAAGACAGGGAAAAGCCTGAAAACTTCATTGTAACTGCCATGCTTTAAGCTGTAATGAAGGAGTCTTTTTATGCACAGTTGAAATTAATATATGTAAGTCAACTGTACCCACTGGTTTGGGATTTCTGAAACTGTCATGCAGAAGATCAGTGAGGAGTTCAGAGGAGTGTGGGCTGCAGTGTGGCCAGCTGTGGTGGTCTGTGGGATGTCACCACAAGACCCAACAAAGTGCTTGGTCTCTCGTGTTTATTTCATCCAGCGATGAACCATATAGAGAGAAAGTGTCTCTCACATACACTGCGGTACTTTCTCAGTACTGGTCTGTTTGTTTTTTCCATCATCGTTTCTGCAGCCACGGTTCACAAGAGTGGAACAAGATTTGAGACCGTGGGGATTTGTCCACCAGCTGAAGTGACATTTGGGAATTAGCTGGCAGATTTCATGCCCCAGACGGCAGGCTGAGGCACCAGTGGGGACAACGTTTGTGCAGCCATTTCTGAGGAAAGAGGCAAGGGCTGTTCGGTGAGCCATGCCTTACAT